TGAGAGAAAAAGTAGGGTTCCTTGGCCATGTTATTGATGGTGGAGGTGTGTCTGTGGACCCTTCAAAAGTTGAGGTCATTACAAACATGACTGTCAGTGATCTCATGGAAGAGGATGGCAGCACACCTTCGGTCCGGCGTATCAAATCGTTTCTAGGCATGGTGTTTTATTACCAACATTTCATCCCCAACTGCTCTTCTATCGCAAAGCCCTTGTTTGCACTAACTGCTGGCCAGAAGAGAAAAGGCAAGTTTGCAAAGACCAAAAAGTCACAGGGCACGTTTCGTAAACTTACCCCTGCGGATTGGAACGATGAGTGCGTTACGGCTTTTGAGCAGTTGAAATCAATGCTATTGGAGTGTGTTGTGCTTGCCCACCCTAACTTTGAAGAACCCTTTGTCCTGTCAACAGATGCGTCTCTGGATGGTCTTGGCGCTGTGCTTTCTCAAGTGCCCAAGGGTGAGACTACAGCTAGGCCTGTTGCTTTCGCGAGCAAGACCCTAAGTGTATCACAGCGGAGGTACCCGGCCCACAGACTTGAACTGTTAGCTCTCAAGTGGAGTGTTTGTGAAAAGTTTAGCCATTGGCTGAAAGGGCGGAACTTCACTGTATGGACGGATAATAATCCGCTCACATATCTTCTGACGAAGCCAAAACTTGACGCTTGTGAGATCCGCTGGGTGTCAAAGCTCGCCTCATATTCTTTTGAGCTCAGACATTTGCCGGGAAAGGGCAATGTAGTGGCAGACGCACTTAGCCGTGACCCCTTTGCAAAACCTGTTGGTCAGAGACTTTTGTCAGAGCCCTACTCCCTGCTCATTCAGGAAATGGATGAGATGAAAGAGCAATCTGTACAGGATGTTTTCAGAGTTACCTGTCAGTATCAAGCCCCCAGTCCTGATGCTCTTTCAAACACGGTCATGTGCAGTGCAGCTGAGGTTAAGGCTCTTTGTCAGTGCCATTGCGAGTGGGTTAGCGCGGCTGAGTCCAGAGCTGTTAGTCTAGCTCAGCATGTGCAGCAGCTGTCATGTGGTCAAGGCGCTCCCCCTGTTTTGTCTGCTTCAGATCTTCAGTTTGGCCAGCAGCAAGATCAGGCTATTGCTACTGTGTTACCTTTTGTCGCAGCTAAGAGAAGACCTACTAGGCGTGAACGGTTTGGTGTCGATCCCCAAGTGCTCAGATTGTTGAAGCAGTGGGACAGGCTAGTTGTTCGGGACGGTGCACTGTACAGAGTAGTTCATGATCCTATGTCCAAACAAAAACGTTTCCAGTATGTTTTGCCATGCAATCTGAAAGACAAAGCACTGTCAGGCCTCCATGACATGGCGGGCCATCAGGGCCAGGACCGCACCCTTTCACTGACAAGGCAACGGTTCTACTGGCCTGACATGGAAAAAGATGTCCGCGAATATGTAAGATGTTGCCCCAGGTGTGTGTTTGGAAAATCTCCGGAACCTTCCGCTCGGGCACCCCTTGAGAGTATTAAAAGCTCTACACCCATGGAACTAGTTTGTATAGATTTTTGGTCAGCTGAAGATAGCAAGCAGAGGTCTGTAGATGTTTTAGTGGTTACTGACCACTTTACAAAACTAGCCCATGCCTTTCCTTGTACCAATCAGACGGCTAAACAGGTTGCTAGAAAACTGTGGGATAACATCTTTTGTGTCTACGGCTTTCCTGAAAGGGTTCATTCGGACCAGGGCACAAATTTTGAAAGCAACTTGATAGCAGAACTTCTCAAATTGGCTGGTGTTGCTAAGTCGCATACTACTGCTTTATCATCCTATGGGGAATGGAGGCACAGAGCGTTTTAACCGCACCTTGGGTAACATGCTTCGTACACTTCCCCTGAAAGAGAAACAACAGTGGCCACAACAGATTCAAACCCTGACATTTGCTTACAATGCTACTGTCCATGAAACCACTGGCTATGCACCATTTTTCTTGATGTTTGGCCGTGTCCCGAGACTGCCAGTTGACATTATGTTTAAGCAAGTGTTGAGTGACCCTACTGTAACCGACTATGACTCCTATGCAACTTCCCTGATTGACTCTCTTAAATGTGCCATGGACATTGCGCAAAAGCATGCGGCTTCTGAGCAGCAGCACCAAGCTACTCAATACAACAAACGTGTCAAGGGAACTTACCTGTCAGTGGGTGATCGTGTTTTAGTCGCAAATAAAGGGGAAAGAGGAAAAAGGAAACTTGCCGATAAGTGGGAAGACAAAGTGTACACTGTTGTTGATGCGAACCCCAACATTCATGTTTACAGAATCAGTGATGCGGATGGCCACTCAAAAGTTGTACACAGGAATCTTTTGCTGAATGTAAACTTCCTGCCACTTCCTGTCATACCTGATGAGCCCAATGACACTGACCGATCTCTATTCAATGACGATTCCCTCATGGACAATTTGAACAATGACTCTTTTGAATCCATGTCCAATGATGCTTTTGCTGCTTTGCCTGATTTAGGGCAGTCAGTTTGTGTTGACTTGGTTCTTCCCAGTTCCCCCCATGACTGTCTAGCTGACCCATTTTCACCTGACCATGACTCTGTTGCTGACTCACATTCAGTGGCTTCGGGTTCCACTGGCCCCGATGCGAGCACAGGGGACAGTACCCGAGTAAGGACTCGTGCAGGGAGGTTAGTGAAATCAGTGAACAGGTTGATTGAGTCTATGGTTCATGTACCTTATTTCAGAAACCGACCTGGTTTATTCAGTGACTAGCCTCAGTCTGTTTTTGTAGCCTGAGAGATCTTTGGTTGTACTGTTGATTTCTGCTGATGCCGTTGGCTGCATTTTCCTTGACAAGTGTCTATGAGAAGCATTTATGGGTCCAGGCATTGTGTGGTGTACACGGCACTGCATTTACCTGAGGGAATATTGAGACTTGATCACCCTTTTTATTTCCTGAATCTTGTGTGCAAGGTAACTTTTCAGTTGGGTCATGGACTTGGTCCGTGAATTGCTTGTGACAGATTGCTGTGGTAGACATTCCCCCCCCCCCCCCCCGAGGTCCTGTGTAGACTACGTTCAGGATGTTGGTGAATTTCAGGAGGGGTGATTGTAACCAAGGAGAAATGTATTTTTGTTTTATTTTGAATTTCACCAAATCCTTCACTTTAATTAAATTTCCATTGGTATTGTGTGGTTTTAGGCATGGTTTAGCCTCTTTCCCAATGTTATTATTATGTTATTAAGAGTTGCACATTTTGCCTGTACTGTCCCTTTAAGAGCAACGTGGTTTGCGTGCTGCACATGTGCACCTCTCTCAGTCTGTACAATGCTACTGAGGAGGTGAGCACAAGTTTTAAAATATAAAAGTTCATTGTTAATATAATTACTGATAATCTACAAATCCACATGTACAAGTTGGACCATGTAGGAGCGGTCTCATGTCTATTGTTTAAAGTTTACTGTAGTTACATGTAGTTGAGAGCTAGCTTCAGCCTTCTCCATGTGTTTTCTTGCTAACAGGGGACTGATGAGCTGCGTGCATGGAGAAAACATGTGACAGAGATTTGTATTTTTCTTTCATTTGTGCAGGTATGTGCATTGTGTTTAAGATGTCAATAGATTGTTATGGAACATTTAAAAATATTATAATTCATATTTATTTTATGTTAAAAAAAATTGTTAAAATGTTTAGGCACATGTGCACCTCTCTCAGTCTGTACAATGCTACTGAGGAGGGGACTGATGAGCTGCGTGCATGGAGAAAACATGTGACAGAGATTTGTATTTTTCTTTCATTTGTGCAGAACCACCAGTAAACGTGGTATCCAGTATCCATTGGTCACCAGTGTCTCATGGTCCTTCCTTCAACCAGCGCAGTACACAGGGACACAACGCAGATATAATTAAGGGTTAACGGATGTGCACCAAAATATTAGACTGTTAATGACCAGATGCGCACCCGTTACACGTACAAAGTTCTACATGCTGCTGTTTTTTGAGTGCTCCTATGCACGATCAGAAGAAATGCGACTGCTACTCTGAATGCTTCCATCATCGTCGTCAAAGCAACAGGTAAACGTCGGTCGCACTTTCAGCGCGTCAGCTCCTAAAACTCTGTTTATTTTAGTTTACACGCAAACGTGAAACCGGAGTTTTCCAAAATCTCCACTCTAGCTGGAGTTTTTAGAAAGATTCGTTTTCAGAGGCGAATTCTCCGTTTGCGTGTAAACGATGTGAACAAACGAAGGGAAATGTCTCTGTTTTTAAAAATACCCGTGTACGTGTAAACGGGGCCTAAATGACAAAGGAATCAACACTAACCACCTGATTTCAGTGGCTACAGACGGCGCCGACTTAGTCATTTTAATAGTCGGTTTATAAATTTACTGACAGCCTATGTTGCGTTCATATTAGGCTTATATAAGGCTTTTAATTTTTTGCGGCTCCAGGCAGGCATGGTTTTTGTTTTTTTTGGGCCAATATGGCTCTTTGAACATTTTGGGTTGCCAACCCCTGATCTAGACTTAGTAACTACTTATTTGATACCTGAACTCTAACTCCTAACCCTAAACCCTTTATAAACCTCAAGTAATAAACTAAAAAAGTGCACTATGTAACTTTTCTGGAGGAGGGTCCACAACCTGCTTGTCTCCATGGAAACATTATTGCTCTGTCTGCTGTTCCAGTCTGGCAATAACTTTATTTTGCATTTATTTCAATTACTGCTCCAAAATAAAAACATACTCTGAGTGGGGTCACTTCTCCAGAGATCTCACCTGTAACTCAGCCTAATGGCATCACTTCTCCATGGAGATAAATCAGTTTAATCCTATATGGTAAACAAAGCAACAACATCCTCATGGAGACAAGCAGGTAAAAAACTCTGCATCAGAAAATGTATGAAGTGGACCTTTAATAAAGTAAGTCATGCTTAAGGCTAATTAAGGTAGAAAATTTAACCAAAATGTCTAACCAAATGAGAATAAACTAATTAAATGGAGTTAGTTGACTTGGCAGTGTAAGGAAGCTTAGCCTACCGGATAAGAAAAGAGCCTTGTCCACAGTGTACTCCTCAGCAAAGCGAATGTGGCAGAAGTTTTTCTTGCTTTTACGGATGGCGATGATCTCTCCACATGGACCAAAGACCTCCTCAATGGTCTGCTCCGTGGAATTCTCTGGTAAACCACCAACAAACACCGTCTTACACCCAGGAGGGCGCTCCCTGGTGGCCGGAGGGGGGAGATCTGGAAAAAAAAGGAGAATGTGTGAGCTCAGAAAAGTTGTCGATAAAAACTCATGTCAGGGTAGTCTTGTGGAAATAAAAAACATGGATGGTGCAGGAAATATAGAAGGATTAACCATGCATGCACTCTCATAAGCCAACTTTTCCATCTGTACTCTGAACAAACAAATTATTTTGAGTGACTATGCAGAAATTAACAGTAAGACACTAAGTGAGCAGTAAGATTTGTATAAAAGAGGAAAAGTGCTTCAGAGGGTTTTCTTATTCAAGGACGAGGGTCAATAGCAACCAAACAGCAAAATGACTGTACTTGAAATATAAAAAGTTAATTTGGAAAACTTAAAAAGTAGTCAAAAGTAGAGCCCGACCGATATGGATTTTGTTGTGGCCAATATGAAACTGATATAATGGGAGTAGGAGCTGCCGATAGCCGATATAATCACCGATATATTTAGTGATGTAAAAATTCACTGTAAATCTTGAATTGATAAAAAAACTTAGGTTTGTCTCTAGTGGATTCTGAATTGGGTTTATTTAGGCAACATTTATTGTTATTTTGACTCTTTACATCATATTTACATACAGTAGATTGGCCTAATGGCATTTTTGCATCACATTCAAGCTACTAGTGATGGGTATTCCAGTTTTTTTTTTTTTTTTTTTTTTGGAGAACCGGCTCGGCTCACTAAAGCAGCTGGCTCTTTCGGCTCCCAAGCGACTCTTGAGATTGTTTTGTGCAAGCAGGACTAAACCAGAACTGACCCAGGACTGAGTGTCGGGACTCGGTTTCTATCTCTCTCCTGCACTCGAGCCCAAGATTAGTCCTGGTTTATTCATTTTATGCTGAACTGCAGCCAAATATGTACTTTTTTTATCCTATGCACACGCAGATTTCTGAAAGTTTCGTTTTCAGCCACTGCTGCTGTCAAACTACGGGTCTACATGCGGCATGAAGAGAAAAAGTGAGAAAAAGAGAAAACAAGGCTCCCAATAAGAAACATGCTCCCGTTGTTCGCTTCAAAGAGCCGGCTCTAAGAGCCACTTCGATCGCGACCGACCCATAACTCCTTGCTAGTAAAGAAACTACCGCTATTAGCCTTTAGCCGTAAATGCTGCGCACAGCGGTAGTTAATTATATGCATAAATGTGAATCATTCACACGTCTATTCACAGCTCATTTACATAACAATGCAGCTCCAGTAACAAATATACGGCCAATGTAGTCACTTTACAATAGACCAATAGAAAACAGCCTGTTTATGTGCGGGAGCTACAGCAGCTAACCGCTAACAAAACCTAAACTAGCTTCAAAGTTGATGTATTTCCAACACTCACCGCTCACACAGGCTCCTCCTCACATCACAAGTCTGCACTAATAAATGTCCTTTTAATCCAAACTCAAACCGATTGTCCGAAAAAGAAAATAATCTCAGTGTTGCGCATGGCTGCGGGTGTAAACAAACACACGCGAGTGAAGTGACGTCACTCTGGGGGTGTGTTCAGGGACAGTACGGACACAGACAAATGACACCGCAGATAAATACTGATGCGGAGCCACATATTAGTACATTTATCTGTCTGTAAATTGGATTAAATGAACATAATGTAGAGAGTCTAAGCTTTATAATGAGGTATAACATGCCCACGTGAAATATCGGCCCATATCAGCAAGCATATCGGCCGATAGCCGATATGTCTCCAGGTGCCCATATTGGCCGATAATATCGGCCAGCCGATATATCGGTCGGGCTCTACTCTGAACAAACAAATTATTTTGAGTGACTCCTCAGAAATTAACAGTAAGACACTAAGTGAGCAGTAAGATTTGTATAAAAGAGGAAAAGTGCTTCAGAGGGTTTTCTTATTCAAGGACAAGGGTCAATAGCAACCAAACAGCAAAATGACTGTACTTGAAATATAAAAAGTTAATTTGGAAAACTTAAAAAGTAGTCAAAAGGTCAGGTGCACTCTGTTTAGTTGTTATAAAAGGCCTTTATTGGTTACAGGGGATAAACCAACTTTCACAGTTTGTTATTGTACGGCATCTCAGTAAGATTCTCAATGATTACGAATTGATCATAGTGAAACAACGCTTAGAAGACACTACCTATTAAATGCAAAAAATAAAAATAAAATAAAAAATGCAATAGTTTCAAATTTTTTTTTTTTTTTTTTTCTTTTTTCATTTCATTTTCATTTATTTACTGATGGTCTTTGTATTGTTTATTCATTTATTCACACAGTCTGTATAAAAATGAAAAGTTGTGTACATATGTTCTCATCAATTGTCTTATAGTGAGAATTGAGTATATTGTCTAGAAACTATTTTTAAAAGGCTGTAAAATGTTTTAGCTCTCTAAATCTATAAAGAGGAGTCTAATGGGAAATATGTCTGACCAATTTTACATTTACTTAAAGCATACAAGTCCCATTTACATCAGCTCTTCTGTTCAAAAAAACCCAAAACAAAACACTGGGATTAAAATATAACCAATATTTCATTATTCTGAATTATCTCACCATGGATCTGATCTATGTTGTACAATTCATGTAAACCTCCCATCGACAATGTTCATATCATTTCAGCCCTGCAGGGAGGTGATGTGAGGTTTCATTCTGAGGGTTTAAATTTTGTCAGATAGTTTTCATGCAAATGCCAGAGGAGCTTTCCACTCCACTCATGAATTCTTTCTTCATTAGACTCCCCACATCTCCAAAGTGATTTCACTGACACCTGACATCAGATACGTTTTCAGGCCAAAGGGGAGAGCAGCATAATCCCTTCTACATTCTCTCCGTCTGTGCTGGAGTCTGCTGCTGGCCCACACGCTCAGAATAACTTTACAAGAGCTGTACACTGTGCATCCCAATCAGATGTGTACACTGAACAAGAAGCCTATGAACCCACGGCCCTGTTACGATAAATATAACAATTAGAAGTTTTTAAGTATTTAAATGATGAGATTTCTATTGACTTCACATTTAGTATGAACTATATAAAGAGTCATCTTACAGAAGTCAAACATTTTTTGAAGCCGTACTATGTAACTTTTCTGTTGGGGGCACCGTCACATGCTTGTTTCCATGAAGGTATTGTTCCACGGTATGTATATATTAAAATTATCACTCATTTATTCAATTACAGGTGTTTTTATTGCTCAAATCATGACTTCTTATGTGAGCGTGGTCACTTCTCCACAGATTTGATCTGTAACCTGGTGTTTCCACTGTCTCCATAGAGGTTCCAGGCAAAAAAAACAAAAAAAAACCCCCCAAAAAACCATCGAGAGCAGGCAGCGAACTCTCACCAAAAATTCAGATTAAAGTGAACCTTTAAGTAATGACTTGTCAGGGCAAATCACCTTTTAAGTAAGAATCATAAAGTATGATTACACCTAATAATATTTTATGAATACATTAAGGCTAGGGTAATAACATTTCAAACTGTGAAAGGAGAAAGTTGGTATTTAAATCTGTCATTCTATTCCTAGCTTTCACAAACCCTTTGGCCTATCGCTACTATTTACCTCATGATTAATTATTTACCCACTAGCACAGCTTTAGAGCAGTTATTTTTTTAGACAAATTAATGTAGCAGGGTGGAACACCTCTGCTCAGTCAATCAGCTCTCATCCTAAAACGTCATATCATGATTTATATGGCTCCTTCTTACAAGTTTGCATTAATAAACAGTTTTATAGATTAAATAAAAGCATGAAGCAATAAAAAAAAAAAATTCACAGAATTCTGCTTTTACAAGGAAAACATTTATGAGAGAAATGCTGCAAAAACAGCTTTGAGTTGATGATGAAACTGAAAGAGATGTTCAGTATTGTATGTATACAATGTCTATGGTCAACCAGAAGACATGGGCAGACTTACTGGGGTTGGGAGGGAACAGGGTGCAGCTTTTACAGTGGATGATCTCCTTGACGACAGGAACATCTGGTACCAGACCCAGACCGGGCATGAGTGGATTCATGGGGCTGAACTCAGGCATCAGGCCCACATTTGGCTCATAATCTGAAAACAAAAAAGAAGAATACATATTGATTTGATTTTAAGGTCAATAAAATCAAATCAATATGTATAAATCACCACAAATAATGTTTCCTGTTTACTGTCCAAAGTAGCGCTGTCATAAGTTTTGAAAATTTGATACTAAACAATACTGAAACTAATATCAAAACTAGATACTCATTTGAGCAGGTATTAATACTGCAAAAAATCACACAAAATGTATACGATCTCATGGTAACATAAAAGTACTACTACTATTATTTTGTGTATGAAAATGACTAAATTACTAAAAAATCTGCATGTTTGATCCTCATTGTGGTATCGTAATCGGTATCGAGTATTTAGTCATTTCCTTAATTTTGAAATTTTAGTATTGTGACAACATGAGTTCATAGTCATCACTTCTAAATCTTGCATAATATAAAACCCTCCAAGGTAGGACGGAGAGACACATGCGTTGCTTGTGTCATCTGCAGTCAGACCAACAACCCACACATAGTCAAATACTCAAACGGTCATGAATAAATTACAGCACAAAATGTCGATATTTTAAGAGTCCCTCCTACTGTGTGAACAATAACCTTATGGATAACGAGCACAGTTGGGTTTACATTATGCAAGCTCTTATTTACAGAATTGATTTTCACTGTACCAACACCCACATAGTGCAATCAAGTCAAGTGCGCACACAAGTCCACATATATATAGGCTTTTTGAAATGGAAATGACACTGCCTTCCACTATCTACATCACAGGTACCTGCTGTGAATAAGCAGCTGATGTTTACTCCATAGGTGTGATGATGGCAATGCAATACATGACCAAGTATGGAGCTATGGTATCAAATGTATTACAAAAATAAAACAAGTTGAAGAAACGTGATAGAGGAAGGAACAACTGAAAAAAAATAACATGGTGGATTTAGATTTACATGATAGAGCCCAAGATTGCACATGTGTTGTTCTGATAACAACAGTAGGTCAGTTGGGGGAGCGTTTGTCCACTGATCAGCAAGTTGGTGGTTTGTATCCCGCTCTTGATGTACACTTTATTGGTTGAGTGGTCAGTGTGATTCCAGCTCCCACAGATGAATGCTGTGTGTCTTTGAGAAGACACATAACCAGTCGCGTCCCTAATGTCTGCGTACACTAGTGTATGAATGTGTGTGTATGAATGAGTGAAAGGCTCCTTGATGTAAAGAGCCTTGAAAGTGGAAAAGTGCAACATGAAAATGTGACCATTAAACATTATATTGTCCATCTGTTCTACCCTGGCAATGACAATCTTCCTGAGGTGAGATTGGTGAACTCTTTCTTGCAAAAACTCAAAAGGGACTGGTATGGGGCATGATGGGTAATAATCTCTGATGAGGACAGAGCAAAACCCTCACTATCCTGATTGTAAGATAACATTCATAATTGTTCTCACAATTTACTATGGAAAGAACAATTATTCACCACCGCTGTAGAGTTTATGCTTACTTTTTTGACTATGTTAGCAATAAACTAAAATGCTGATTTTGATGACTTAGCAAACAATTGAAAAGATACATTTTTGAGCAGTTACCACCAAGTGGGCTTTTTGTAACAGACATAGGAAATCCCATTAAAACCTGGGGAATACACAAGAAATGCTTCTGGAGCGTGATCTACTCTGAGATGTGGAGAGCAGATGTTGAATCCTGAGGAGATTAACATCTGTACTTTAGTCCAAGCATTTACAATGTAACTGTGATGACTTATGTCTGGATACACACTGCATGACATGCTGTAATGTTTGGCACCACAAAACAATTATAATTTAGCAGATCAAACTACATTAGACATGCCGCAGAACTACAATAAATCATCTGCTCAAGTGTGTATAATGCGTCTCATGCTCACAAATGTCTACAATAGAGACTGGAGGTATATATAACATTAAACTTAAAAGATGCATAAGTTTGATCCATGCGACAGTCCAGCCCCACTGCTGATGGCCTTGTGCTGGGCTTTGCTGGGCTGATATTTCTAGTTCAGTTTCAGGATCAGAGTTCACCTTCTTTTCTATACCATATATGTAGATGTTTTAAGTGAGCCCCAAGGCAAAGCCTGTCCTTGTTAAATGCAGCAAGTCTCAGGGTAGTGCTGTCACTCACAGGTGTAGAATAACAATATTCATGTGTGTCCCATTTGTGTGAGCCAGATTTAGGGCAGTGTTCCATGAGATACAGCGCATCAGGGATGTTTAAGTCATTATCTGCACCTGTACTGCTCTCTCATTACAATTGAGAAACAAAATGACAGTGAAATGTAAAAAGAAATGTGTCTGAAAAGATTGAATACAGAACATGATCCAGATAATTACAGACTCACTAACTATAATGAATTTATAGCCTTTGAGACTAGACTCTGGAGCCCAGCTTCATTAGAATTTATCACTGTTCACATCCTGCCTCTGCAGTACCCACTCCCCGGAGCAGGAGGCTTTTTATACCATTGGAGATGGAACAGATTTGTGCCATGAGTGCACACTCCCCTTTATATTTCACTTTGGTCAAGTGCATGGAGGACTGCATATGCAATGCCAGTGCACACATGCACAGCAGCTCAACAAAAGGCTATACTTCAATAAGAAAATGCTTTCATGGTAAGGAATGGGATGTGCTTTAGGAAAAGATTTTTTACTGATATAGTGGAAAAGAGAGTAGGAGAAAGCTTCACAATGCAATGTTTTAGATGTGTGGCACAGCATTATAATGATGCATAAGAAAGCAGTGTTATTTGTGACAAAAACCTGAACTGAAGCAGTTCACCTGATGCAGTACAAACAATACAAGAATAGTGCTTTTGTGATTGCTTTATGATCCATGTTTCTACAGAGCTGTACCTGGCACTAGTGTCTGTGTGCTCAGCCCCAGAGGAGACATCCCCAGGTTGTTCATGGCTGTGGCCCAGGCGCTGGGGTCTGACATGGGCATCGGCATTGAGCTGGACTCCATGGGGAGGTTGTGGATCACTTCTGCTGAGAAACAGAGGATTGGAGTAATATCATTAAAAAGATCCATTTAGATCCAAAACAAATGTTATTATCATATTCAAATTCTGTTGAATTATATTCATATCATACATTAGCTATTCTAAAAATCTTCTTAAGTGTACATGCTGACCAGTTCAGTAAAGAAAAGGTATGGGTAAATGCTACATATGTTGCTCTGCTCTAAACCAAAGCCATTCTCTTGCAGCTGTGATAATCATCAGCTGAGAAATAGAAAAAAAATATATATTTTTGGACACAATAAAAATGCTGCCACAAACAAAACATTATAGCTGCCTACACTTTTTGTACTATAATAGATACTATAATTTAAGACAATCTGAGCACAGACATATGTCCCTGGCTAATTCAACATGATTCTATTTAGATTGTACTGTCTCCCCTTTTCCTCTCCTTCAAAGCTACCCTCTTCTCTCCCTGATGCCAAAGACAACTGCAGTGCTAATAATAAGAGGCCCAGCTTCTGCAAACAGCTCACAGTCTCAGGCTCCTCCTGTGTCTGCAAAACACTGAGTCTCTCCTATCAGGCTTTTACTTCTCTGAGCGGATCATTCCAGAGCGGTGCTGGTGATGGAGCGAATTGTTAACAGAGCCACTTCTGAGGAGTCCACAGGACAAGAGTGGTTTTACACTACTTATTTATTAGTGTTTATTATTTATTTGAATAGGGACAGATACACAAACAGAGATTAACACTTCAGTAATCTGATGCAGGTATCATAGTGTTTGTAGCCTAGACTAGTTTGCAACACCAGTCCCCAGAAGGGCTTTTAAACTGTTCACTGAAAAGCAGTGGGGATATTGTAGAAAAAGCAATAAATAGTGACTGTGTCAAGAAAATCAAATATCAAACTATCACAATATAAATACCCCTCACCCCATACTCTCTCTCTTTCACACACACAATTGACATACAATGAATTTGCTACTGTTGTGGGAACCAGGTCCATTTGTTTAAGGTGTACAGTGTGGAGATAGTCTTTATATGAGTAAGTAGAGAGTTTCATAGTTTAGCTTTCTTCACTGAGAAGACAATGGGAGTGAAAGGTCTTACAGAAAGGAACTCTTTAGTCCCTCTGTGCTGTGGCTCATGTGGATCTTGTGGACAGTCTGTTTACAAATTTACAGACTGGTTCCAGAGCCAGTCCATTCAAACATTTGTTGTAGCTAAAAAATACAGAAGTAATCCAAATTTTAAATTGTACAATTTGATAAAATAGAATAGTGGTGAAATCTGATGGGCTTTTTGTCTAACCTTTTGTTAAAGCATAAATGTAGAGCCAGATTATCCTGAAACAGTTAATGCTGCCTTAATTTCTGATGCATGACTTTTAAAATTTAGCTGAGAATCCAGTGTTACTAAATATTTTTCTTGCTCAGCTTGCTCTATAGGTTCACCTTTTATGGTAATGTTCAATTCTGTATATGTTTTTTTAATAGAGAATCTTTACTACCTTTCTACTTAAAAATTATTTTTTTTGCTGGTAAATTTTAAAATATAACATATTTTGTCATGTGTCCATTGCTTTCCGGTTCAAGATTCTTTGATGGCACAGGTCATTGTGACAGATATTCATTCACAGTGCTGCTACTAGTGTTGGCTCGATACTAAATTTCAAACTCGATTTTGATACCAATGAATGACTCGATACTTAATTCTGATAGCACAATAATAATTAAAACACTATTTATTTATAGCAAAAGAAAAATGTAATATTGTCAGCTGGGCAAAGGTTGTTTTATTTTTTCACTCAAAAAACAAACAAACAAACAAACAAAAAACAAAAAACAAAATGACTGAGAGATGACACACACATCTCTATTTAGACAATAGTGATTCTCAACATTAAATAATAGTAGTTTCTTTTATATTACCATGTGGTTTTATATCTATGTAATCCCTCAGTCATCCAAGTAGGTTCCATAGTGGTCTATGGGCATATAGTTGTCTATGTGTCAAGATCATTCTAAAGCTATTCAGGAAAGCTTGATTTCTTTCTTTCTGCCACTGGCTCTATCAGGATGCACATCTACCCACATGTCCCTCACTAAGGTTACTGTACTACTAGCATATACTCTGTAAAAATAAGATCAGCAAATGTTTTTTTTTTCTAAAAAAAAAATCATACATTTAATCACAAACAAATTAAAAGAATACTGTCAACATGTACAATGGGATAGCACAGGCTTATTTAAATGTGAGTAGATTGTCTGAATCTGTTGACCTACAGTCTAGACCCACGTCTGGTTAAGATTGGGCACAGATCTGAAATGGTCATGCAAAACCTCCTGCAAATGATGCAGTTGTTGTAGTAAATGAGAGCAGTTATACATCTCGTGTTTGCACTAGGCACATCAAACCCCTCCACAAAATCATGGAGCAAGTGTATTTTCTTTGACAGTGGAGTCCGGCCAAATCAAGTTCCACAGATTAGAACGCACCAAACAGGAAGAAAAAAACAGAAATGTGTCAAATGCACATTTACCCTGTATTCCCTCTCACACCTTTTATACTTCTTTCCATCTCTCCTTCACATCCTGCTCTTTGTTCACTTGTACACTTTCATTCTTTGTTCTTTGAATTCATTATATTATATTTTCACAGATGCTGTTCCTTGAAGCAACCTCTAAAGGCCTTTGATTTTTGTTCATAGCATAACCTTGAGCTAAAAAGTCACCCTTGGCTTCAGTGGAAAGAACCATCCTATGGAAGTCAATGTGTATTGAGCTGAGAGATAAGGTCTGGTGATCAGAAGTCTCAAGCTTCTTCACATGCAATTATTGAATGTTCTTGAAGGCTATCTGTGGACAGACAGAAAAACAGAAGAAAACACCAGACTGACAGTTAGCAGTGGTGCTCAATGTAAGGCCTGAGAAAAAAAAAAAAAATCTCAACAAATTTAGAGCTGTTGAGATGTTATTTTTCTATTATCCAATCAGATCGCATTCTGAAATCTAATCCAATCAGATCTGAGGTCACAATTTTTAGATGTCTATAAGACTGATGTCTTTCCTCTTCCCACAGCCAGATCATGTGCTCCAGTCTGGGGTCTTCAGTGTTCACACACAGGACACTACATCTTTTAGGACGACTATTTCCTTCTGCAGTGGAGACTCCACTCAGAACAGAGGGACTAAATGTCACTTCAGCAGTGACCTGACTGTGCTCCTCCTCTGGACAAACGTGAGTCTGTCCAGGTGTAGAGGAGAAGACACAAGAGACAGTGCCCATCTGAGGTGACCTCTGACCTGGAATGTGATCCTCCAGTCACCAAACGCTACAGAGACGTGTTACTGGGAAGGTAGGTTCAGCTGTAAACTATGACTAAATATATTAGAAAAACAACTGCTGTTGTCTTGTCAGTACCACATCTTATTCTTGTATCTTTGCAGTGAGGAAAGGAAAGTCTGAACTTTAAGAAAAACAGCTCAGAACAAAGTAAAAGTCGAAGTCCAGCATCTGCTAAAGAGGCAGAAAGGTCCAGAAGGTCTGCAAGAACCTCCAGGACAAAGTCACTGAGATAGTGATGGAGAAAGTCCTGAGGGATCTCCATGAAAAGCTCCAGGACCAAATCCAGACCTTAGACCTGGAGAAAGTCCTTGACAAAGTCACAGTCCAGAAAATGAAGGACAATAACAACATTGTGGAGAGGAGAATCATCCAGAGAATCCTGAAAATTCGGCTGCGCCAAGATTAGGACAGATCCCAAGACAAGACACAGGACATGATCCAGCAGAAAGACGAGGCCTCAGGAACAGGTACTGGTTCAAGTCCCAATAGTCCAGGACATGGTCCAGAGCAAAGTCCTGGAGGAGGGAGAGGACAATATCCAGATCCAGTAGCAGGAGTACTTTCCTCTGCACAACAAAGTTCAGGACAAGGTGGAGATGGACAAAGTCTAAGAGAAAGTGGACCTCAAAGTCCAGAACAAAGTCGAGGAGAAAACCCAGGACAAAGTGTCATGTGTAAACCAGTGTCAGGTCAGGAGTTGGCCCAAGTATTACCACCTCAAACTGCTGCACCCTCACATGGCTCCATAGATCCAAGAAATCCTGCAGTATTAAGCCACCAATTTCATAAAAATTTGTTTTGCCATTTGTTTTGCCTAAAAACTAAATTTTTTCCCCCCAGTGTTCACAACATAACGTTCAGGTAAAGGTTAGCACATGAGAAGCAGATTATAACATTCCTAGATGGACCTTTAGGACATTAAATGGAAATAATATAGAGAGTCTAAGCTTTATAATGAGGTATAACATGGCCATCGACCCATATTGGCTAGATTTAGGCCAATAGCCAATTTGACTCCTAGAGCCCGTACATGTGACACACACGTGAGGAACTACTCTCACCTTTTTACTTTTAAAGAATGCGCCAAACTGAATTAATAGCATTGTTTTGTGGACAGGGTGTCATTATTTGAGGAGGACAACTTCTATGGCTAATATGAATGAAAATGCTACAGTTTATCTGACAAGAAGTGACTAAGCAAATTGCCTATTTTCGCTATTTCCAGAGTTTGTATATTACGCCTCTGTGTCCATCACTCCGTCTGCCCCTGACTCTGTTTTATTGGCTGTTACTGTAGTGTTGCTGATGTTTGGTGGTTACAATCTGACAGAACACACACAGTTGGGTCACGCCTCCTCGAACTCAGGGAGAAACAAATTGCAGCCTAAATTGGGAAAATTATCCTGTAGGGTGTGACGACTTTTAGACAGTTGTATCTTTAGACCCCAGCCAAGAGTAGACTACTGCTTCATCCCACATTCACTCAAAATTTTATTGATGACTTATTTGCGTATTTCATTTGTTTTACTTGGTCAATGAATATTCATAAACCACAATTTGCTTTGATGAAAGTGATTTCCAATTTCCCGATATGGGTCCATGTAATGAAAAGAATTTCTTCCAAAGCATTGTTTTAACTAATTATCAAATAATAAATTAATGAAGACAGAATATA